CTCAGGCCCTTGTACTTGCCAGGGAAGCACTTATTCCACTGAGCCATCTCCCCGGCCCCCCCGCCCTTTCTTGAGAGCTTGTTTGGAGGTTCTAGCAGGGGAGCGCAGCTACTCCTATATCCCTGACCGAGGAACGGTCCTCCTCTATCAGGGGTGTTCGTCCTCTTCGACAGAGCCTGCAGCTTCGGGAGGGACGCACATGGATTGTTGAGGGAGGAAGGGGATACCCACCCTCCTAGCCAGCCAGATCAGCCGAATCAACCCGGGCGATCAATGGGGTGACAGATGTCACAGCCAGATCGCCCTCACATCCAAAGCTTGTGCTTTTTGGGTTCCCCACCCCCACCCCAACCAGGGATTGAACTCAGGACTTTCCGCTTGCCAGGGAAGCACTTGAGCCATCCCCCTCCCCCGCCCTTTCTTAATAACACCTGCACCAGTGTGCCTTTCACGCTGCTGAGCTGGGACCCCAGGACACGTGAACATCACACAGCTACTTCTCCCTCATGTCAAGAGACCCAACATAGATGCTTCCTCTTTTTACCAAAGCAGAAATGGAGGACCGCAGCTGAAATGAACAGCTTAAAAGCAAACCCATTTAAACCTAGAATTCCGCTCCGCTCCGCTCCCCGCCCCCCATGTCCCTCCCCACTACTTGGCTCTACACATTTCACCCCTGGCAGGTGACTATGGACAGGGTAGCAAGTGTACTGGGACAACACGGGTAAGAGTCGCACATGCACATGCACACGGCACATCTTCACTTTTTTTGTCCTCTTCCCTGCCTTTCCTCTTCCCCTTCTCCCCCTCCCCATTTGCAAGAGCTGTACTTCCACTTTTCTTCAATTATTTTTTTTCTTTAAATCCCTTCTCTGTTCCTTCTTTCTTCCCTCCCCTAACTCTTGTTCCCCTTTCCATTTGAAAAGGCTCTGCCTTCTTCTCAGTCATCTATCCTCCATGTTGCTCATGTTTCTCGGAAACGTGATATTTAAACTTGCATTGTCTGATTTCTTTCACTTAACACTATGATCTCAAGATGCGCCCGTCTACCTACAAATGTGCTCCCTTTTATTGATCCATTTTTTCATGTACTTATTGGCCATTTCAACTTCTTTGTTTAAGAAGTATCTGTCCACATCACTTGCTCACTTTTTGGCTGGGTCTTAAAATTTGAGTGCTCTAATTTTTTTTTTTTTAATTCTTTATGTATTCTACATATTAGTCCTCTGAGGAGAAGGCAAAAGGTTTTTCCCACTTGGTAGGCTGTCTCTTGGCTCTTTGGGGGGTTTCCTCTGCTGTGCAGAAGCTTTTCAATTTCATGTGACCCATTTATTAGTTCTCTATAATATTTCCTATACCACTGGGACTTTTTGCTTGCTTGCCTGTTTGTGGTACTGGGATCGAACGCAACTGGGATTTTGTTCCTAAAGAAAGCAGCAACTTTCAAAGTGGAAACTTATTTCACAGATTCGGACTAGCAGTTTTGTTAAAGAATGGGAAATCGATCCAGCTGCGTCACATTTAACAATTTCTGAATCTTGTGTCATTTCATATAAATATGTGTGCATGAGTCTCTGTAAGGATGTGGTCCAAAAGCATTAGAAAGATACTGATTTAAAGATTAGGTCCTTTTAGATTTTATTTCAGGTTTAGATCCAATGCTTAATTCCTCACATGTAAAAAGTAACCCGGAAATGACCCGAAGCTCTGCTGAAAGCTGTGTGTGGAGCCTGCAGCCCTGGAGCAGGGGTCTGGGGCACAGCAGCGATGGAAGCCCAGACCCAGCCTCAGCCCTGAAGCAATGCAGGGGCAAAGCCCAGGGCTGCCTGCGACCAGATTCATGCAAGTGGCTCAGGCCCTGCTGTCTCCCCCCAACTACAGCCCTGACCCTTCTTCTCTGCACTTCACTGGGGTTGTCGGCAATGAAGAAGAACCTTTGCTCTGGCTAGTCTATCAGTGCAGAAGCCCCCACCTTTGCTGCCATATTGCATAACCCACACCAGCAGCTTACAAAACATGAAGTTAAAAAAAACATGATGCCTATTGCTTTACAGCTCACACCCTCATGTTCATCTGCTCGGTTCCATTTTCCTTTCTCTCTCTAGAAATAACCCCTACCCGCTGTCAGGAGGACACATTCAGTACCTACTGATTTTAGGGTGTCTGTATGTGTGTGCCACAGGCAAGGTATAGGCCTGCTTGGAGGGATGTTTTTAGCATTTCCATCCAGCTGTTAGGAGGTACATATATACTCCCAACTGTCCCTGCACAGTGTTTTGGTGTATAACCATATATGTGATATGCTCAACTCTTTGGGGGTTGGTTTGTTGATTTTTGGTTTTGCCTTTAAGACAGAGTCTTGCCATGTAGTCCAGGCTGGTCTTGAACTCACAGCCATCTATCTTCCTGCCTTGGCCTCAACGTGTGCCACTATGCCAGGCTTACACACTCATTCTTGTAACACATTGTGATTGTTCCGTTACATGGATGCACCACACACTATTTCCAGTACGCTGTATTAAGTGACACTGCTGTGAACATCACTGGACACCACTCTGTGGACACATTTTGTTCAGAGTGTAGAGCTAGAACTGCTGAGACAGCCCACAAGTAATGTCTCCTATAATTGGTTCAACAAATTTTTCACCTGTCTATAACATGGGCAAAATCACAAGGTACCCACTTCACCTCAAAAGATTTTAGCTGAGCTTTTGCTGTGTGCGCCAATGCTGAGTATGAATATAGGCCTGCACAGGCGCAAACACCAACACACTAGGTATGGTCTCGATGGCTCCACTTGGGCTAACAGAAGTTTGATTTATGGCTTAACCCCTGGTTAGCTGCATGACTTGGGGCAGGCTTTTGGACTATCCAATCCTCAAAGTCCTCACCTGAAAAATGTGGACAAAATGTAGACCTACTTCATAAATTTGTGAAAAGTAAATGAGTTAACACAGGTAAGTGCACCAGATGGCCCTTAGCCCATAGTCTGCCTTTATATATATTTTTGGCACTTAGTATGGGTGCTTGGTAAAATACGGACTGTCTCTTAGGAGCAGGTAAATTCATAAGAATGTCAAACAGAGGCCGGGCATAGATGAGCACACCTGTAATTCCCAGCATTTGGGAGGCTGAGATAGGAGGATCATTAGGAGTTCCAGGCCAGCCTGGGCTACAAAGTGAATTCCAGACCAGCCTGAATTGCATAGTGAAATCCTGTCTAAAAAAGACAAAAAAAAAAAAAAAAAAAAAATCAATAGAAGTCAGTGTGGTTTCTCTCTGAAAGTAAATCTGCCACAGCAGGAGGGCTCAAGGAAAAGAACTCCCAGTACCTCAAGGGAATCTCTGCAGAATAATCCTGACCAAGGTCACACTGAGCCCCATAAGTGCCCTGGCTTCAGCAAACTGTGCAAAGTCTTGTTAGACAAACCAGGTCCCTGGAGACTCAGGACGGTGTACCTCAAGGACACACGCTACAGAAATGGGCACATGGCACAGCATGTCGACACACCCCTTCCTGTGCCCCTCAGCAGCCCAGCTAGGGCTCTGCAGCTACCTCACACCACCAGCTGGCTCTTGTTTTCTCTCCTATGCAATTCAGGCTGGCCCTTCAGCTGCCCTCACAGCTGACCCTTGGGCCCTCTCTCCTGTCCCCAAGATGAGCCTCACAGATGTCACCTCTAAAATGGGGTAGGGTGGCTGTGAGGAGTCAATCAAACAAGTTGTGTGAAAACACCACACAGCACTGTCTGCCCCTTTTCTAGGAAGGCTGAATCCCGGCAGCCAAGCTTTCCACGCTAGCATCCCTTTGAGTCTGTTCTCTTCCCTGCTCACCACACCCCACCTACCCAGAACCTGCCTGTGCCTGTCCAGCGCCCACTTCTCTTCTCTCAGTCACCGTTGCTGCTGCAGCATCATCATGACAGCTGTACTCAGAGCCTACTGAGGATTCCGCAGCTTGGGCTGGCACGCAAGGCCTTCTGGGAAGCAGCCTGTCATGGTTTGTGTCTAGGTGTCCCCCCCAAAGCTTCATGCAGTCATTGGGGGGCGGCTTATGGAGTTTGTGATTGATTATTGTGGGTGTGGATGTTGCACTTGCCCTGGGGCAGGTAATGGGCATTACAATGTAAGGAGGGAAGACAAGCTAGGTGCCTGAGCTGCTGCTACCCATCCCTGTGATTGCTCTTGCTCTTTGCTGTTGCCATGAAAAGTTGCTCTCTGCTATGTGCTGCTCTGCCTTGGACCCAGCTGAATATGGACTGAAACCTCCAGTAACTGTGAGCTAAATAAACCCTTTCTTCCTTCATTTTGAGTGTCAGATACTTGTCCCAGCAACGAGAAGAGTAACTAATACAGGGCCCTTACCCACCTTTCCAACTGTCACCACCTATGAGAAAAACCACTTGCTGGGTGGCACACGGAGAAAAACAGTATCCAGATAGGAGATTAAATGCAGCTTAACAGGCTCTTATCGCAGAACTTTAGAGCCTTTTAATACCTTAATGTGCACTCTGCTTCTTCACATTTTCCCCAGTTTATACTTCTAGTCCTTTTTTTTTTTTTTTTTTTTCCAAAGTTCATGAAGCAGTCAAGGGCAATGTTTCACAATGTGCCGACAGAATATGTCAGTGAGGACATCTGCATAGGCCCAGTGGCTGGGACCATCGTCACTGCTGTGGGAGACCTCTGCAGGACGATACAACCTTACATGGATCTCAGCACAGGGATGAAAAGACAACGGCTGGCTGCAGTGCCCTGTGAGCTCACGAAGGGATGCTTCGAGCTTGCCCGCCAAGGCTGCCAGCTTCCCAGCCTCCAGCCCCTTCATCCACAGCTTTCCGTTCTGTCCTGTTTGTCACATGAGCCAGGGTTCATTCTAAGCTTGAAACAAGCAAGGAATCTTCCCTGGCACATAGGTCTTTGGGCCCCTGAGCAAAGCCAACCAAATTGCCCCTCAGTCAAAGAACAGTCAGAGCCAGCCACCCTGGCACAGTCAGTACCTGTCCCATCAGGGGTGGACCTCACAAAGGTGGGCAGCATTTTCACAGAAGCAGTGGGGTGGGTGGTAGCTCCAAGCCCTTTTTCCATCTCCTTGCGGAATCGCTTAGAAATGTCCAGGAGGGTCTCATCGGAGAGGCGCATATGGTAGAGGTACTGGTCAACCTGAAAGAACAAGAAACCAACAAGAAAGACCAATGAGGTAAACTTATTATAGTTTTATGTTCTGGCATACCACTCAGCCTTTCAAGATGCAAAATGTGTCATGGACAGAAGGTAATTATTAGACAATTAGCAGAAATCAATTTGACGAGTCTCTGTTGCGGAGAAACCCCAGCAACCCTTCTCAGTCTCCTTCTTGGAAGTTCCTACAATCGACATCACCATCATTATCATTCTTTCAGATTTTGCAGCACTGTTGTCAGGTCCTCCTGATTTGTTTTTTCCTTTGCAGTATTGGGGATTGACCTTGTGCTGCTTTACCATAAAGCTACACATCCATCTTTTAAAGTTTTATTTTGATATACAGGCTTATTAAGTTGTACATGCTGACTTCAAACTTGTACTCCTCTTGCCTCAGCCTCCAAATGGCTAGCATTACAGCAATGGGCCATCATACCTGGCCTGAATCTTTTTAACAGAACTTGCAGCAGGTGCTTAATCCTCTAAGGAGAAACCTAGTGTACTGTGTGTGTGTGTGTGTGTGTGTGTGTGTGTGTGTAGATGGGGAAGCGTGCACAATGGAGGAGTCCCCTTACTTCTCTCTCTCCTTTTTCCCTTGCAGGTTGTATCTTAATTCACCATGGGGTCAAGCAAACCCTTCCCTTTAGAACTGTCCCTATAGAATATGGACTGACCTTCAGATCTCACAGAAGTCCCCACCAAAGCTGGATGAGGTAGCACATCACATGCCTGTAACCCCAGCACTCCTGGAGGCTGAGGCAGAAGGACTGCTGTGAGTTTAAGGCCAGCCTGGGCTACAAAGAGAGCTCAAGGCCACCTGAACTGCATAGCAACACCCTGTGAGTGAGTGAG